GGGGGGGGGGGATTCTTTACTAGTCTATATAAGCATTATAGCGTAGAGTATGAAGACATTTTGACTCATACACTGAAAATTATAATGTGAATTTGTGCAAATATCTAATAACCTATTTTAAATGGAGGCAGTTACACTTCCCTGGTTAGATTTGTTATGTGGCATAGAATTAAAACAAAATAATGTGTTAAAATGCTAAGAATAGGGTATAGCACAGATAGTTAATTTTTAAAGTTTTTATCAGGGATTTGGATTTCATTTGGGTCAGGAGTTGGAGAAATTGATGGAACGAGGTTGGAGCTTGTGAGCCAGATTGATCAGGCATGGTGCATACTGCTGAACAAAGGCTTTCTTACTCATTAGGTTTTCATTTTGGTACCATTGGTGATGATAAATTCTATATTTGTGCTTTGTGTTCAAGAATTGTAAAGCTACGTGTTATTACATGTTTTTAATTTTTTGCTTATAGGATTCAGTGGTCCCAGTTTAAAGGCTATTTTACTTTCAAACTGGAGAAGGTGATGGATGATTTCAGAACATCAGCTCCTGAACCAAGAGGTCCACCCAACCCTAATGTCGAATATATTCCCTTTGATGAAATGAAGGAAAGAATACTGAAAATTGTCACGGGATTTAATGGGTATGCACTTAATGCTATTTTAAAGGTTTGCTTTTTTTTTTTTAAGTTTTGATGTATGTGGTGGTTTGATAATTGATTATCCATGAGACTAAGTTCTGTGTCTCTAGTGACATATATAGTAGTTACTTATTTTCAGTTTACAAGTATTTAAAATATTTACAGCTTTAAAAAAAAATTTTGTAAGAGTTTATTTGAGCCAAACTGACCACATATACTGGAAAGCAAGATCTCAAACACTCTGCATTTGAGAAGAGTGTTACAGTTTCTTCCATGCATTTAAAATTAAGAAGGGGAGTGAGGAAGATTAGAGGAGATAGGAGAAAGCAAGGTGGGGATTGAATTGCAGCACAGTTAGGATTATTTGTTCTCTCAGGGGCAGTTACCTCTTAGAAGGAGAGGTCTGAAAAGAGGCATTTCAAAGGTATGTTATGCCACATGCAAAGAAACTGTGGACAGGGCTTGTTTAAGGCAAGGATAAGCCTTTTAGTAAAGAAGTGCTATGCCTGGGGCTGGATTACCAACCAGAACCTACCCAGTTAGGAATTTATCATCAGATCACCCTGTGAGGTTACTTTCAGTAGAACCCCTTTTACATCTACAGTTCCCCTATTTGTTCATAAATCAATTCAAAGGATGCATGGATGACCAACCTTTTGGTTCGATAATGTGGTCTCACAGCTCTAGGAAGTCTCATTCTTAGGAAGTCTCATGATGGACATTGTTCTGTTGACAGTTGGGGATGGGGTCATAGCCATGGGCTCTGAGTTGAGGCTGAATTTTCCCCCAAAGGGAAGGACAGGTAAATGGAAGGCAGTCTCAAGGCTAACTTCATCACAAAAAAATACCACTTTGAATCATTTCTATAACTAGCATGATCTGTGTTTTGTCATCTGTCTCATTTTTATTAATTTGTCATCTGGTATAACATTTACATAAGCCATGAAAAGATTAACAGTTATTTTATACATGTTCAATAATCATAAACAGTTGGACTATATAGAAAAACTCAACAAGTATAACTATTATTATGACTAATATCCTTAGCAGACAGGTAAAGACAATCAAACAAAATGGATTCTGAGTTCAACAGTCTGTGAGCATGCAGGCCTTGTCAGTGTTTTGGGATAGCTCTCTACCTCTGCTGTCAGCAGCTTCTCATCCTTGAGGAGTCTGATGTCTGTTGTAGGTGGAGGAGAGTGTCAGAGGCAGGGGTAAATGTTCATTTGTGTTTAGGTGCCTGATAAGTTTCGTTCTAACCAGGTTGGAGAGTGTCTTTTATTTGGTGTCCTTCCCAAAAATAATAATCTAAAGTATGTGTCTCCTGGGAATTCACTATGAAAGGAAGCAGCTACCATCTTGGCATTTTCTTGAAATGATTCTATCAAACCTTGGCAGCAGTGTAAGATGTCTCCTTTCAGTAATGTCAGCTCACAAGTTCCTTCATGTAAGTTCAGCTTAAATGCACTCTGATGCTATAAAGGAACATAAAAACTGAAAAGTGGGAAGCTTGGGAGCAGAGAAGAACCAAGCAGCCGTCTTGGGTTTCCCACAGCCCTGACTATTCTTTTTTTTTTTTTAATTGCTTCTTTTCCCATGCAATTTAACATAAAAAACAAAATCCTTTGAGGTGTTCCAGGTACCCTGCTGGAATACCACAAAGTTATTTCTACATATATTGAAATTTTAACTAATGAAAACTAAGAAGTAAGCAATTAACATTCTTTAGCTTGGCAGATATGTGAATACATTTTATAACTTCTAGAAACATAGGCATTTTACTGGCAGATATATTTAAGACATTGCGTAACCTCTAGAAACATTTCATAGACATCAAAGTCAGTTATTAACATAGACTTAACTTTTGTATAGCCCAGGTAAAAATAAAGACATGTCTGTTTTATGTAAACCTACAAACTTAAGCTAGCTTTTATTTACAAGGATTAATCTTAGGATTAATCTTTCTATAACTAGCATGATCTGTGTTTTGTCATCTGTCTCATTTTTAATTTAAAAAGCATTTGAATTTCTGTATTTCTAAGAATTTTCAAGTACCCAATCCTTATAAGCACTTGCCTTTCAGTTAATTGTAACAATACCATTTAGATGTAGAAATTTCACATTTATGTCATACATATATAGACATACATGGATAGGCACAAAGAGAAAACTTGTTGGATTCAGATTTTATTTGGAGGCATTTGTAATTTATGTCTGTCCTTGACAAGTCAAGTTCCAAATGATCATCTGAGTTTTTAATACCTAAAGAATTGGGTTGACACCTAAAAGACATAAATTTATCCATTTATCTAAATCCTTTTGGAAGCTTCAAGAGACCAAATAAATAGGCTTTCCTTTCTCTCTGCCTAATTTTAGAGCTACCTTTTTCTAATTGTACATGCAAAAATTATTTTAGAAGTATAAAAGGATCCTCAACTTGGCTATCTTAGTATTAATGAGAGGCTGACTGTCATGGGCCTTGTTAGCCTGGGAGGCATGATTTCCCATTAATTTTGAGATCTGTAGAGTTTGAACAAACTTCTAGAGAAAAAGTCCTTACATGCACATCTCCAGGAGCCAGATTTGATGGATATCCCTATAGGACTGCTTTCCACTGTTTAGAACATTTTTACTCAGGCAACACCACAAAGAGTCTTAGTCACCTAAGAATACTCAAGCAAGGGCCATCAAGAGCTTACCAGATGCCTCCAGAACCTGAATGCTTCCCAAGGCATGGGCCCCTTTCTCAGGGTGCACCCATTTCAGTGTGCCCTGCCTGCCCTTTTCCTGGGGGCTGGCTTCTCCAGGATAGGCTGTACTGGATGTCCCCTGGCACCCATCTCCTCCACTCCAGATTCGGGGATCTGAACAACTATTGTCACCCCTTTGGCTATTCAGGTTGGGGAAGCAAGTGTCCTTTCTTTTTTGGAGCTAAAGGAGAGTTCATTCTCTCATTTAACCAGCAAAGATTTTGTTCATACTCTCAGTAAGCAATCCAATTAAAAGCAGCAACCCGTTTTTTTCCTTTCCCTCAGTTATCTCAACCCTTCTCCACCTCGAGGATTTTCTAAGCTCAAATAAAGTCATGGCCTGCTACTTAAAGCAAGGAGGCCCAGAATTCCAAGAGAAGACTCACCCGAGTTCACCCGATGTCAAGCAGGGAGCTGGTGGGGCACAGTGGGCCCTTGCTTTTACCCAGCACAGGGTCCGGGTCTGCAGGGTGGTCCTTCTTCAGAATCCTGCCGACTACACCAAGTAAATGACGTAAACATCCAAACCTGTAGAGAGTTTTTGTAAGAGTTTACTTGAGCCAAACTGATGACATATGCCTGGGACAAAGGTCTCAAATGATCCCGTAGCTTTTTAAAAATTTTTTTTAATTTGAACTGCCTTAATTGGGATCAGTGGCATTCAGAATTTAAATGGGTATGACAGCCAAACAAAATATTTTAATGGTTTTTACTTGCATTTTATATTTGGTGTTATAAATCTTTATACTTTGTATAGAACCTATACACCATTGAGATGTCACTTTTTTAAAAAATGAAAATTAACAGTTTTTATGTTAAGTATTCTACATAGTGACTTTTTATTTTAAAATTTTTTGGAGTTCCCCTTTTGTCCCCAACAAGTAACCTTTTTAGCCCTTTGTAAAACATTGCACTTGAAAAGATACTCTGCACTATAATAAAACTGATCTTTAAAAAATGTTGCTGTGTCTCATTCTGTGTCATTTTAAATACTTTCATTTCGGTACTGTGTTTTTAGGGTTTCCTTTATTGAAGGAAAGTATTTGTGAAGTTGGATAGTTTAGCATTCAGTTAGGCATTGACAAATTAGAGTGTGGAATGACAATAGCAAACTTAGTGAATCGTGGATCTGTTAACTGTAAGTTCATATTTAGGGACAGATTTTGTTGACGGGGTTTCACTTGTATTTTTAGTTAGCATAATAGTCTCATTCTTTTCTTCTTCTATTTAATGACATGAGATTTCCAACAGATAGTGTAATTCAATTAACCCTTTGTTGTATTCCATGTTCCCTTATTTTTAAGTTTAGGAGTTTCGATTAAAATATCAAATCCTTATGCTTTGATTTCAGGTTTGTTCCTAAAGCACTGTATTGGAAGAAGGGAGAGAAATTTCAGCTTTATCTTATTTTTTTACAATTTATCTTTATTGTTGAAATTATTACAGATGTCCCTCTTTTTTCCCCCCATTGATCCCCCCACTCTACCCCTNCACCACCCTGTTTGTCTGTGTCCATGGCTTAGGCATATGTGCATGTAAGTTCTTTGGTTAATCTCTTCCCACCCTCCCCTTCCCTCTGAGATCCCTCAGTCTGCTCCATGCTTCTATGTCTGTGGACCTATTTTGTTCATCAGTTTATTTTGTTCATTAGATTCCACATATGAGTGAGATCATGTGGTACTTGACTTTCTCTGACTGGCTTATTTCACTTACCATAATGCTCCCCAAGTCCCTTCATGATGTCTCAAAGGGTAAGATGTCCTCCTTTTTTACAGCTGCATAATATTCCATGGTGTGAATGTCCCACAGCTTTTTTATCCACTCATCTACTGATGGGCACTTGGGCTGTTTCCAGATCTTAGCTATTGTAAACTGTGCTGCTATGAACATAGGGGTGCATATATTCTTTCTGATTGGTTTTTAGGATTCTTAGGATATATTCCTAGAAGTGGGATCACTGAGTCAAAAGGCAGCTCCATTTTTAATTTTTTGAGGAACCTTCATGCTATTTTCCACAGTGGCTGCACCAGTCTGCATTCCCACCATCAGTGTACTAGGGTCCCCTTTGCTCCACACCCTCGCCAGCACATTTCATTTCATGATTTGTTGATGGCAGCCATTCTTATAGATGTGAAGTGCTACCTAATTGTGGTTTTAATTTGCATCTCTGATAATTATTGACTTTGAGCATTTTTTCATATGTCTCTTGTCCATCTGTATGTCCTCTTGGGAGAAGTGTTCATTCAGGTCCTT